TGCAAGGACATACATACATATATAAACCCTCTGGTAAAGTTAAAGCTATTATCCTTTAACAGTCCATTATCGTGAATCTCACCAACGATGGAGGACAATCTCGTGAGTCTGGAAACACAGCAAGGACAGCATCCTTCAGCCACATTTCCTGATCAAGTTCAGCAGGCAGTCCGACATGAGAAAGTATTGACCTTTAAAACAAACATAAAGTCTGTAGTGAAATAAGTAGCGTGTGAAGTGGCACAATATAGAACACATTGAATTTTTCAGGACCTTCCCATTACCCGCTGTTTCAAAGTAAAGATAAGCATGCTCCTAATGACAGCTAAGATGAGAATTCCAGCACACAATAAGAGATATACCAATGTTTGATTTGCTCCACAAGTATGCTTAACTTCCTTCCCTGAAATTGGATTTCGTGCAGCAGCATTTGAATTTAATTCAAGCTTCTGAAGCTTTTCAACAACCATAGCCTCATTACCCTGGAAACCGAGGTATCACCAAGTATTCCATTGAGGAACATAAGAGAAGGATTGAATAAGAAAAAAGGAAAAATAAATTCATAGTTTCTGCAAGATATCCAAAACTATTCTAATGAAACAGCACAAGAAATAAAATTAGGAGGAAACTGAAAATTTTACCTGACCAAGAAGGAACAAGCAAAAAGTTTCCTCAAGTTTCAGATCAGTACCCTCTGATGCAATCAGACACTCGCATATAGTCTTTGCTTTGTCAATCTGCACAACCGTATTATAAGGGATGAAATTAACAAAATGGAATATGCAGCAACGCCCTCTGCCCCAAGTAAGAGAGAGAGAGAGAGAGAATTTGAAGATTACTATTTCAGCAGGCTTCATATTCAAAAATAATAATTTGGACATAGGAGTAGAAAGAATTTACCAATTCCTTTTGCTTGCTTGAAAACCCCAGGGAAATATGAGCTATCAACACTATGTAGAAACAATTAAAATCAATAACAACCCTTTGATTCTGTGATTCAAGTGATTTCTTATTCTTCCTTGTAATAGCTAAGTCATCCCATGGAAGAAGATCAACTATCTCTGAAGCCATTAGTCTATTAAATGCTTGGCTCAAGAAGCATGGCCAGTCTTGAACTCGACACGACGTTTCCACACCAAGCCCCTGTCTGACCAATTCACGCAAGGCTGCAATTGCTCCTCTTCTTCTTTCAGCATTCTCAGGTGAGTGAGGCATGCCTAGCAATTCCAATGTGCAAGCAGGTGCAAGCTCCTCCAAAGATTCTTCTATCTATAAAACATGACCAACATATGCTTACTTTAGGGCAAGTACAGGCATGGAAAAAAGTTAAGTGCTGTCTAACAGAAATTTGTCACATTTTAAAATTTTCAACCACCAGGTCAATCTGACTAAGAACAACTTAACTTCTCAACATTTGGTCCACCATACTTTGATTTATTATGTAGATATATGTTCTCTACTTTGCAAAACAAACACTTAGATACAGTCAGATGATTTGAATTCTAATAGTTCCATTTCAGAGCAACAGACCAGATGCCAATTAGTGGATTGAACCAGTAAATGCCATGAAAAAATATCATATAAAAAAAATTGGCACAAAAGCACATAGAAGATGAGAGATTACCTGAGATAACAGTGCTATTTTCCCAATAGACCTTTTACTCCTTAGAAGACTCTGTGCACGAGCGAGAGCTTCAAATCCTTGGGACACCTTGTTCTTCTCAAAACCAATCTTTGCAGTTCCACACTTCAAGAAAGCACCTAGGATAAGAAAAGGAGGCATAACAATGCTGAAACAAAATGGAAGGTACAATATCCTGACCTCTTTGCTGATATGCCTTACCTCCGCTAGTGCCATAGAAAGAAGAAGATCATGAACATACGGCTTAGCATCTGGATGCTGAACAGCTACGCGACCAATATCTTGCACAAGCTTAACTTCTCCAACCTAGAATGAAGAAATCCAATATTATTATACCCACCTTCCAAAACAAAATCCTTTCTTCCTTTTTTAAAAAAAATTAAGCAAGAAAAAACTATTCTATAATATTACGAATAAGATAATGTTACAAACTTAATAAATGCAATTAGGCAACGTGTATCTACAAGAGGAATACACAATGAAAAGTAGGGGTGAAAAAATGAGTTTCACGACAAACTGTAGCAATCAAATTCTGAAAAGAATTCAATCCCTCTTAAATTAGTGTTTAACAATATTTATTTTTCTTTAAAGAAGAAAAAAAGAGCCTAAAAGGCTGAAGGCTGAAGGCTGAAGGCTAAACACTAAGCCACAAAAATCTATGTTAGACTAAGTAGATTGTACAAAGACAAATCTGTACCTCTTGAAGGAGGCAAAGAGCACCTGGCAACCAAGCCCAAGGGATTCGTAGGGAAGATTTAGGTGGGATCTTTTCCTTAATATTACCAGCATATTCTGGTTCAAAAAGAAGCTTATCTCTCACATCCATTAAAAGACCCTGCAAAGCAGCCCACAAGAGAAATAATTTAAAGATGAAATTAAACAACCCTCCTTCCACCTGGTATATCTACTACATATAATAAAAAACTTCAACGTCTCAACCTGGCGAGATGCAACAGCATCCATGGTGTAACCTTCTTCAATTTCAGCACTCTTCAAATCCATCACTGATTTAACAACCTCATCTTTTTCAGCTTGATCAGGAACGCCAATAAGCTGCAAATTCATTACATTAGCATTAAGTTACTAAATGCAAAGTCAGACTAATAATAAAGTTCAGGAAATATGGATATGTTAGCGCAAGATTCACATAAACATCACACAAATTGTACACACTAGACAAACTCTGATAACTTGATTATGCCACTTCAAGTGTAAGGATGGCAGAGTTTGTTCAACAGTTGACGCTCTTGAGAACAATGTTAAATATGGCACTATTGCAGATGATGCTACTAGCCCGCAGACTAAAGAGCGACTCAAGTGACTCGCAGGATCCGGAGCCAGAACAAAATGCAAAAGGAGGCGGAGGGAAAGCAATTTTATCCCCTTTCGATTTTCTCAGCTCCAAACCAGAATGAATACACATTTAACAAATAATCAGGATTTAACAAACACAAAGCCCACCAAGATTACACATTACAAGTAGCAAGAGAGAGGATTTTTTTAAAAAAAAGAGAAAAATGAAGCAGTGACCTGGTAACAGGTAATGGGAATTTCAACGGTGGTGCGAGGTGGAGCGGTCTCCACAATGTGGGTGTCAACTGCATTCACAGTCCAGCGACCGGTAATATTATTATTATCCTTCTTCCAGTAAACCCTAGAAACACCGATTTCATTGTCACTTATTTCTCTGGAGAAACCCCAAACGCAGACCTTGTGATCTTCCTTGTGATTACTGATTCGGCAATGACAACAGGAAGACAGAATGCTTGGAAAGGCGTGAGACAAAGCAGCCATGACTCTTTTTTCCCTTTGTAACTATCTTACTGATGAAGAAGAAGCTTTAGAAATGGAATGGTAAGGGTTTTTGCGTTGAACAAGAAACAATTTGCTTTTCTTAAAGGTGAAAGCAGAGATAGACTCATTGTTTTTGGACTGAGACATGAAAATGAATCTTTGGATTTCTTATGCAACCATTTTCATTTTCCTTTGCTTCTCCAAATTTTGGTGCCAAACAGAAAAACTAATTCCTCCATAACAAAACAGAAAGGGTAGAGATGGCATTTTCCATATTTGTGCAGTTCCTTTATTTTTTCCAATTATCTGCTTGTATATTTTTTTTCGCTCAGGTAGGTATCTGGTTGTATTTGTTGCTGTGAATTTATTTTTCTTACAATCTGGTTGTTTTTTATTGTATTTTATTTTATTTTAGTCAGAGTTTTTAATTATTTGGCTTGTTTTATGTAGTTTAGTTGAAGGTTAAACAACTCCTTGGTTCGATCCTTGCTCTCGTACGGAGTCACCACTTTGGCCAACACTTTACCCCTTACGGGCCAACCCGGTGTGAGTGAGGATTAGTCTGGGTTGTAGTTAAGGCTTAAAGGTGCCACCCATAATTGGGGCCCATCCAGGACCACCTCATGGTTTAGATATAAAAAAAAAAAAAAAAAAAACTCCTTGGTTGCCATTTGAGAACTTATATATCTTGTGTCATAGTTCATCCTTTACAACACAAATCAGACCAACAAAAAAAGAAAGGTACAAATGAGATAAGAATGTTGTGAGGAGAAATAAGATGAAAAATATAAGGAGAGTATTATTATATTACACTCATGGAAATGCAGGATAGGATTACAAGCATGTCTAAAAGCTTCCTCAGTCTCAGGATAGGCAAAAGCCCATCATGCATGCAGAACTCCCAACTTCACTAAGCAGTCGCAGGATCGTTCTTTATTGTACCAATGCAATGCAGAACTGCAAAACAAAGGGAGAGCCTTTTGTTAGGCGGTTCTAATGAGACCAAGTGTGTCAAAAACTGACTATGGGTATGGCAGCTAACCAGGATCAAACAAGTAAGAGATTCATGGAAATGCAGGATATGATTATCCCAACACTCCACCGTTCAGTTTGATTTAGTGTTGAGAATTCAAAACATGGCACTGATACACAGCAAAAATCAGGAACAATCCCTTCTGGCTTAGTAAATATGTCATAAATTAATTAAAACAGAGAGGGGTTATACTTTCTCTAGAAATAAAGGGTGGGGATATTATTTTGCTTCAATAAAAATTGGAAAAAAGAAAGCTAGCGATGCATGAAATTGAAAAGCAGCATATGGGGCGGAAAGGCTAGAATGAGGAGGTTGAGTGAGGAGGTTATTTGAGGAAGTGAAATCTCACCATCAACAACTAAAAACAAATGACATGGGAGGGTGTATTGGGGAGTCCACACCCCTTTCGATGGTGAGATGGGCCTCCTCAAATAACCTCCTCACATAGTCTCCTCATTATAGAAGCTCCCGCATATGGGGTGAGAGGCCAGCCCATCAAAAGGAAAAAAGAAATCAGGAAAGACCAGTTTGAGGCAAGAGATGGCCCATAAAAAAGTCCAAATGTCTACTCTCTCTCTCTCTCTCTCTCTCTAAACACTGAGAGGCCTCCAAGTCATTCATTCTATGAATCTATGAATCTATGAATCTATGAATCTATCTTTACAGTTCGCACATCAGTGTCTACATTTCCCTGTCTAGTGTCTGCTTACTGGAGTGGTGTCTCAGTCTCAGTCTTAGCATACTCTCATAGACCCAATCCAAATGACAAATCCCAAACTCTGAAATCAAAACCCCCAAATCCATAACTCATTTTCCTCTTCTTCCTCAATTCTCAAAGAAAACATGGTCGGAAAACCTGAGCCGGTCAACGGCACAGCCACTGCGAAGACCAGCCCATCTCCGTCCCCAGCCATCTCCATGTCAGGGCTGAAACCAGATCTCCTCAACAACCTCTCATTCAAAACCCTAAAACTCAAAACCAAGCAGCAGGAGCTCCTGATCCGAGTCTCCATCCTCTGCTTAGTCTACATCCTCGCCTTCATTACGCGCCTCTTCAGCGTCCTTCGCTACGAGTCCATGATCCACGAGTTCGATCCCTATTTCAATTACCGCACTACCCTCTACTTGACCGAGAAGGGCTTCTACGACTTCTGGAACTGGTTCGACTCCGAGAGCTGGTACCCCCTCGGCCGGATCATCGGCGGCACCCTCTACCCCGGCCTCATGGTCACCGCCGCCCTCATCTACTGGACTCTCCGATTCCTCAGCTTCGCCGTTCACATTCGCGAGGTCTGCGTTTTAACGGCGCCGTTTTTCGCCTCCAACACCACCCTCGTCGCCTATTTTTTCGGCAAAGAGATTTGGGACACCGGCGCCGGCCTTGTCGCCGCCGCTTTGATCGCCATTTGCCCCGGTTACATCTCCAGATCGGTCGCCGGCTCCTATGACAATGAGGGTGTCGCCATTTTCGCCCTGCTCTTGACCTTTTACTTGTTTGTGAAGGCCGTCAACACCGGCTCGCTCGCTTGGGCCTTGGCCTCGGCGTTCGGCTATTTCTACATGGTCTCTGCTTGGGGAGGTTATGTCTTTATTATCAACTTGATTCCGCTTTACGTTTTGGTGCTTTTGATCACCGGTCGCTATTCCATGAGGTTGTATGTCGCCTACAATTGCACTTATATTATCGGAATGTTGCTCGCTATGCAAATTCGCTTTGTCGGCTTTCAGCACGTGCAGTCTGGCGAGCATATGGCTGCCATGGGCGTCTTCTTCTTGATGCAGGTTTGCTTTTCCATGCACATTCAATTTACTCTTATCAATTATATAAAGTGTTTTGCATGTTTCCGCTTCCGTTCAGTGTATATGGTATGACATATAGTCCAATGAATCTCTATTATAAGATAGCCTTGTAACCACGTGGGTCATTTTACAGATTGGTAAAGTATAAATTAACTTACCCGATTCATTTACTTTTTATTCATTTTTCTTTGGTGGTGCTTGGGGATGGTGTTGGCAGGTATTTTACTTCTTAGATTGGGTCAGGCACCTGCTGAGTGACACAAAGATGTTTCAAGCCTTTCTAAGGATCACTGTCACCTGTGCAGTAGGCGTTGGTGCCGTTGCTTTGGGAGTCGGCACTGCATCTGGGTATATCTCTCCATGGACCGGACGGTTTTATTCCTTGCTAGACCCAACTTATGCCAAGGATCACATTCCCATTATTGCATCTGTCTCTGAGCATCAGCCAACGGCTTGGTCATCTTTTATGTTTGATTTCCATATCTTACTCTTCCTTTTCCCTGCTGGTCTCTACTTCTGCTTCAAGCGGTTGTCAGATGCCACTATATTTATAGTTATGTATGGTCTTACAAGCATGTATTTCGCTGGTGTCATGGTTCGGTTAATTCTTGTTGCCACACCTGCAGTTTGTCTTATTAGTGCCATTGCTGTCTCTGCTACTATAAAGAATTTGACACAGTTGGTAAGGGCAAAGAACAAGGTTTCCCAGACGGGTTCCACCAAAGGAGGCAGCAGCACAAAAGGCTCTTCGAAGGTGAGATCTTTACTCCTTTATATACATACATGCACACATACAAACAAACAAACATACATATACATTATACAATTTTGATTTCTTGCTTATTGCTGAGTAGAGAATCCATACTCACCAACTTTTTGAACCAAATCCAATGGCTGATATTCAAATCTCGAAAAGAAATTTATTTTCTGAATAAATATCTGCTGTCAAATTTTGATCCATAGTTAATTAGTACTGGAATTTTGGTCCGTGGTGATTTTCTTTTGATCTTTATTTTGGTGGTTTATGTCAAACACTAGTTTTTGTTTTTGTTTTTAAATTATAGTACATAACAAGTATCATTGCTCACATTTGTCTTACAAACAGGGCTCTGTTGATCAATCTCAGCCTTTTCAAAGAAATGGTGCTTCTGTCTTACTTTTTGGTGCATTTTACTTGCTTAGTAAGTATGCAACCCACTGTACCTGGGTCACGTCAGAGGCATACTCATCTCCCTCAATTGTTTTGGCTGCAAGAGGTGCCCATGGGAACAGGGTCATTTTTGATGACTATCGTGAGGCATACTTTTGGCTTCGTCAGAATACTCCTCCAGATGCTAAAGTGATGTCATGGTGGGATTATGGGTACCAAATCACTGCAATGGGAAACAGAACTGTCATAGTTGACAATAACACCTGGAACAATACACACATTGCTACGGTTGGGCGTGCAATGTCATCTTATGAAGATGAGGCATATGAGATAATGAGATCGCTTGATGTGGATTATGTCTTAGTTGTATTTGGTGGTGTTACTGGTTATTCTTCTGATGATATCAACAAGTAAGTTCATATGAATTTCATTGAAAATTTTGAAATATCTCTTGTTATTTGATAATACTTGTAGAACCATTTGATGATTGTGTTGGTGGCGCAGTGCAGTTATGCTCGTGTGTTTCTCTTAACTCTATCAATATTTCTGATTCATTTTCAGAACCCTTTTGTTCAATTTAATTGGAAGTAATATTTTGGGTGTTGTCGTTCTGCTTTCATCATATAGTAATACAATTTGTCCATGCTAGATTTCTGTGGATGGTGAGAATTGGGGGTGGAGTGTTTCCTGTGATTAAGGAGCCCGATTACCTCGTTAATGGTGAATATCGTGTTGACAAAGGTGCAGCACCCAAGATGTTGAACTGCCTCATGTAAGTTTCATAACACAGCTAAGATGTGTAAACTTATGTCATGTGTAGGTGCATTTAAGAATTCTTAACACAGCTAATAATTTCATATTTTTCCCAACGACACCTTACTTCATTTTATCAACATAGTAAAACAAAAAGCACAGGTGTCCAAAGGAGTTCCGTAATCCAGAACAATTTGTTCATGTTTGTGGGGGAGAAAGAAAAGAAAATTATTATAAAATGAGCATTTTATGCTGGAGCATATGATTATGGTTGTTCTTTTATGAATGAATTCTCTCAAACTTTAAGTAATAACTTAACATACCCTTCTTTAAACTAAATTAACATATTACATTTGCTTGAAATTTGTCAAAGAGATGATTGTGTTGACAATGTTTTGGGTTGCAATCCCTAATGCCTACTGATTGATGTAAGCGAGCTATAACGGAAAGTAAATGGAGTTTCATTCTGCTGGACCACTGGTTCTAATGTGGGATTTACTTCTCACTTAAAATTAATCTTAGACCCTTAAGTGAATTATTTATTTGGGAAATTATTATACTATTGATGTTCCATTCTTTGTATGATGTCAAGTTCTGTACAAAAATGATTTGTTTTTCAATTTTGTTGGCGATTAGGTACAAGCTGTCTTACTATCGATTTGGAGAGCTGACGACAGAGTATGGCAAACCACCTGGGTAAGTTTCATGTGTCTTGAATAGGTTATTTGTTTCCAGTGCAGTAGGTGTATCAAGTCTGGAATTTTCATGTCAAATTGCTGATTTTTTATTTTTTATTTTTTGGTTTTTTGATGCGGGCTTTTGACAGGTATGATCGTGCACGGGGGGTTGAAATTGGAAATAAGGATATCAAACTTGAACATCTGGAAGAGGCATTCACGACATCTAATTGGATTGTTCGTATTTACAAAGTCAAACCACCTAATAATAGGTGGTAGATCTGGCTCTCTTACTGCTGCTACAGAAAAGACAGTAATTGAACATGGTAGATGAAAGCCTGAGAGCTTGGAGTCTTGAAATATAGTTTTTAGTGGTAGTAAGTAAAGCGTATGGATTTCCTTTAGAGTTGGTTTGTGGCACTCAAGGCTTATTACTGATATGATCGGGAACCGCCTAAATGGATTTGCGGTCTTTTTTGCCTCGGTTAATTACAACGGTTTTGTTCATTGTATCGTTGAGACATAGATATGATTCACAATGTAACATTTTGAGCAATTTTAATTTTAACTTTAAATCCCATGATAATTTTAGTGCCTTACCATCATTACTGCAACAGAAGGAATACATTTTGGGAAGGAAAAAAAAAAAGTAAAATGCAAAGAACACCAGAATGCTTGTACTTCCCTAAACTCTACACTCCGCTAGTCCATGTGGGTTGCTGGTTTACCGTTAAAATTGAAGTAAAATTGTAAGAAACTCTCTTGTTTAGTTTCTCTCTTTTCTTTTATTTTCAATGGATGCGTTTACATTTAGTAGTTCTCCGATGAATTTTCTTAAAAAGGTTGTATTTCTTTCAAACAAACTGTTCATGAACTTGTAACTTTGGGAAATATTGCGCTGGGTGAAATGCGTGGGTAATTTCTGCGATCACGGTTGTAAAGCCTCACCAACAAGAAGTAATGAAAGTTACAAAATTGGTAAATCCACCACCATAGCCCTTGGAGCTCCCCACAACATGTAGAAAATGTACTTGTCGGCATTGTGTTGAGGGTTTTAAGATTTATTTTATTTTTATTTTTTAAAATTTAAACAAAGGGGCAGAGCCCCAGGAATAAGAATTTATTTCCGTAAAAAAGAAAAGTACCAATAGGTATAGGTCCATAAATTTAAAAGCAATTATCATTAGTGGTTAGTCCCTAAAAACATTTATTATAAATATAAAAAAAGGTCAAAGGTAAGCGACGGTCAGACGGACGGATGTTTAAGACCTGGTAGCGAGGTAAACGGGACAAACGCCAAGCGATTGAGCGATCGGGCGATTGGGCGATTGGGCGATTTGCGATTGCGAAGAAATCATCGAAGCATGAGCGGCGGCGGCAGAGCACAACGGATAACGAGCGGGAGCGTGACGACCACCATCACCCTTGAGAACCCCGACGCATCGGCATCGGCATCGGCATCTTCATCCTCGCAATCGGAAGCTTTGGTTTTGCGGCTAAATCGGAAGAAGAAAAAGAAGCAAGTGACATGGAAGGAGGGGACGGTGGACAACGAGTTCATGCAGAAGAAGAGCTCCAAAAAGTGTTGCATCTTCCACAAGCAGAAGCCCTTCGACGAAGACGACAGCGATGATGAGGATCACCACCATCAGCATCACCCCTCACCTTCGGGCCATCAAAACAACGTCTGTTCTGATGAATCGTAGAATCATACTTTCTTTCTAGTTGTTCAATCCAGTGAAGAGTGATTGGTTTCACAAATCTGGATCTGTGATTTCATAATTCTTTAGGAGTTGGGAGGATGAATTAGGATCTGTGATAAACAAACATATATAATATGTATATGTAATGCCCCCTCAATCTTTGTCCCCCTTGGGTGGTTGTGGTTGCTTGCTTGTTTTATTGTGATCTACATTCTACAAAACAAAGCAGAGGTCGGTTGTGATATGATATTGTTGATCAGTTGAGTTGATAATGATTTGATGCTGCTGATTGCTGAATGTCAATTAAAACTTGAAAGTTGATTTCTTGCCTTGGGTGGTTGTGGTTGCTTGCTTGTTTTATTGTGATCTACATTCTACAAAACAAAGCAGAGGTCGGTTGTGATATGATAATGATTTGATGCTGCTGATTGCTGAATGTCAATTAAAACTTGAAAGTTGATTTCTTATAATGAACAATTGGCTCGTTCTGGTTATTTCACCGAAAGAAACGACCTAAAACCTTACATGCCTGTGCCACAAAGCAAGCTCGGATTGGGCTTCACATGAAATGAAACCTTACTTGAAGGAACCTGTAAAATACAATACAAGGCAATAGCCAACCATTGATGGATTAATTCAGTATCTACAGCCCACACAACATCAATCGCAAGGAACACATCTGTATTGTAAATTTGTAATCAACAACCAACCCATTACCATTGTTAATTCTTACGTCTGTCTTTCTTTCATTGTTTCAATATCGCCTTTCATGGAATAAAGGACTAGTGATTTTCACAAGCTAAAAGGGAAAGGGAAAAGGCATTAGTGTAAGTCAGAGTGTTGTGCCAAAAAAAATTCAATCTCCATTACCAATAATGATACAATTGTACTGTAATGCACAGCTTGAAATTACTACCTTTATTAAGATAACATGACCGATCTTAACTTAAATTCCCAGTCCAAGTGGGATTGCTATTTTTTGATACAAAGTAACACATCACAAGAATAACGAAATAATAAATAATTTGGTCACATACCATCTCCATTACAGCTTTTCTCAAGCTGCTGCAGCTACTGCTTCAGACTTGAAATGCTATTTAGCATATTGCTGCATATCATTATCATCCAATAGTTTAAAATGAATCTTTATTTACCGTATTCTCTTTCTATAGTTCTCCCCCTCTGATTTTACTGCAGCTATATCATGTATAATTTTGTAGCTGAGATATTTCATCCCATTGGATCTAGTGCACGGAAACAAATCATCTATATCAAAGTGCAAATGAATTTCTCTAATCAAGGGCAGCTTTCCAGCGGCCAGTTATTGGCTTCGGTAAGCCATCAAAGATCGGTCTAGCCATCGTTGCAGTTGAGAGAGCTTGCAAGTCTTGTTTCAAGCTCCACCTTGAAGTTGGCCACACTGATGCTGTGTTATTACTCTCCTGGTCTTTTAAGCTTGATGTGCTTGATGATTTACGAACAACAGCCATTTCGTCAGTCATGATAGAATCGCCTAATCCCACTGGAATGGAGTTCAACCATCCTGACTCTGAATCAGATTGCAGTACTGTTCGGCTTGCTGATTTCTGCCTCATGGCTAAACCATTTCCTGTTGAAGAAGAGAAACCACTGCTCCCACCACTGTTTTCCCCTTTTAACAGCCTTTCTGGTGTACCACTACCATTATCAACTTCAACTTTCTGACGCCTTCGGACCGATTTCTCATCAGATTTCTCACCCTCCCCATTTCCAGGTTCTGCAAGGTGCGTATAATCAGCCATTGCACCATTCTCAGCTAAAAGATCAATTGAAGAATGCCTAGACTTGTTAGGGTGACTTTCAGACAATGGTGAGAGCACCTCATCATTAAAGTATTCTGAACTTCGACTTCTGTAGACTGCCATCTCCATGCCTTCAGCTGTACCCCTCAAATTTGGAGATCTTAGACCATAGTATTTTTGTAAAGTGCTCATTGCTGTAGTGACTTTCTCTTTGGGAGCTTTTGAACCTACAGAGCGGAATGGTTCTAGCACAATAGCTTGGCCAAGACATGGGTTGGATTTTTCAGTGTTGTTTTCTCTGCAGTAAGACATAGAAACTATAAGCTAACTGAAGTTTATAAATACAGACTAAGATCGATTGATGCACTTGAACATCCAGCTACCAGAAACAGTGGGAATTTAGAATTGCAGATTGCAAATTCTTAAGGCAGAAGCCGTAACCTCAGTTTTTTTTCAGCAATAACAGATGTACATTAGATATGGATTACATATATAGAGGCAGGACCGGTGTAGAACTATAGCATGTTTAGGGTGATGCTTCGGTGGATGTATTATAGTTACAATGGAGAAGGTAGCATGTGAAAATGTAAGTAATAGTAACATTTGATATTATCTTTTTGTTGTTCGTATTTCATGCTTATAGATTGTTTGGAATTGGAGTTAAGAAGAAAGAGGGTAGAACAGAAGAGGAAGGCGGGATAAAATGAGAGAACATGGAAGGGAAAGAATTGAGAAGATGTTGATTACCGTAGAGAAAGAGGGGAAGATGGCGGATGTCTTCCTGGCAAAGGTATTTTCAAAGTCTTCAAAGCAAACATTTGAAGATCTGTAGCAAACCCATTCATCCTTTTAATGTCAGCCACCTGTTTGTTTCATTACAAATTTACAAAGCATCATCAGCATTTACTCTTTAGCAATAGCACGACACCATTAAAGAAAAGTTGGAAACTTAGAACAAGACCAACAAGAAGAAGAAGAAGAGGGCATGAAGCTGCAGCTGATGATAGCAATAATAGCAAGCAATAGACTAGAACTAATAGTAATAGAGCGCGAAATAATCAGAGCCAGGGAACGAGCCAATTAAAGACAGGATTTGAGTAGAGCATATATAAATATAGCAGGGGGATTTCAGAGAAAAATTAGAAACCTCGACGCCGTATTTGATGGCAACGCCGGCAAGTGTGTCCATCTTGGAGACTTGGTGCTCTATGAAATTCTTGCCTCCTCCTCCTCCTCCTCCTCCTCCATTATTGCCATTCTCCACCGACCTTGTATTCGAAGGAGACATTCTTCCCCGATCTCTTCCCTTTGTTGTATTTATATGTATATATTATAGCTTAATTAGCTGCTGCTGCTGCCCTCAAATCCAATCTTTGGTTTCTTTCTTGAGAAGAGTTTTAGAAAAGAAAGAGACACAAAAGCAGATCCATACATACAGAACTAAAATATTAAACTAAACAAAATGGAGTCTACATAAAAGTCAAATGCTTCTCCTGTCCGGGGGAAGCAGCATCAGCATTTCTATTAAATTTTGATTTTTTTTCTTTCTCAAACGCAGGAAGCAAACTAGCCAAGTCTCCCCTAAAGAAAAAGAAGAGAAGAGACGAGAGCTGTGAATTTGTGAATTTGTGAATTTGTGAATATAAAATGATAGAAATGGTAAAGTAATATATTAATTTTGTATGTATTTCCCCTGACGCGGAATGATACAGTTGAGTTGAGGACTTGGAAGGATGAGGAGAGAAGAGAGAGGAGAGAGGAGAGAGGAGGAGGAAGACAGCGGGGAAGAGAGAGAAAGAGGGAGAGAGAGAGATACCGACTACCGACACATCTCAGCAGCACTCATTCATTTTTATGATATTTTATTCCATATATTAAAAAGAAGACTCTCCCTCAATACAGTCACGCAAACGAACGACTCTGCCTCTTTGCGGCCCCCACCTCCACCTCATCTCGTATGTAAAATTGTAATGTATATTCCGGTTCCGTCCTTCTTTTCTTTATTTTCTTTTATTTGTAGATTTATTTTATTTATTGTACTTATTTGATGATATGATATA